CTCTTCCTCCAAAGCAGGCTTCTTTCTCTGAAGCAGTTCTGAACTACCAAAAAAAAGTTCTATATTGTGTAAGAGTTTGAACACATTATTATTCTGAACTGCATCTTCTAATGACTAAAATAAGCCTATTACTGACAAATGAGCATAAGACTTTTTACCCCTAAAATTAACTAGAAAAGTTATCTGGTCTTCCTAAGAGCTGGAAAGTCAGGGAAAGACAATGTACAGGGAGGCTTTGAAGGTACACTGAGAGAAAGAAAGCTGTTTTCTGCTTAAACCCTTATCAAATCCCATCCATTTCAGTTCCACAAATATCCATGGGCTCCCACTATCTATTAGGTGCTAAATATACACAATGCTGAATATACAAAAAATTCATTTTTGCTTTATTGAGCAAAAAAGTGAAAGTAGATTAAGTCGAATGAAACAAAATGATTTTGGTTTAGTACGAGATGCTTACAAAAATTCAATCCTAAAGATTTAATAAGAAATCTTAGTTTTCTCCTTTTCTTGGAATTGTTTTCATATTTTTCTAACTTTGTGAATTACAAGCTTAAACACATTTAAAATCAATACTTATTTGTTAATAAATTATAATAGACTAAAAAAAAGTCTTACCATGAATTTCTAAGTGAGTAAGCCACAAGATGGAAATAGTGCTCATCATTCAGTCATTTTCAAACACACCTAAATTTAACATGGAGTTATCTAATGCTTTCTAGGAAAAAGAGGGAGTTTGTTTTACTATAATCCATTTTGACTAAAATAGGTTTGCAGGTATTTAATGGTGTCATGATAAAGACAACTCATTACCAAATTTTTTGGCTTTCAGTTCAAAAACTCCCTTTGGATGGGGTCCCAGAGCAGTTTCAGCTAAGTCTTCCTCTGTTCATTATTTGTTAGTATTATAGAAAGGCTCAAGTATACTTAAGCTTTGAACTGAGGCAGAATGCATAAAGTTAATAATTAATAAGTTAAATTCCAAGTTTTTCCAGGTAGTATGAAAAAAAATCAGAATAAATGCCCTCACCTAACTATTAAGGGTAAGTACATGTGTCCCTCTAAGACAGATCTAAAACTTTATTTATTAACATTTAACATTCAATAAATGTTAAAATATTACTTTCATGAGAACTGAGATTAAGAACACTGAAACAGATGAAAACTAATATGCATCTGCAACTGAGAGAAAAGTCTTAGGAAGCCTTAACAAAATAACCCAGACTCATCCTAAAGCAGATGAGAAATCTAAACACTTTCATGATAAAGAGAGATAACTGGGACATAAAAACATAATAGAAACCTATCTTACTCAATAAATGTGAGAAGTCAGTTTAAAGCATTTTACAACTGTTAATTAACAGTCTTTCACAATCTATACAGACAATATGGGCACAGCTACAATATGTCAGACCAGTATCATTCTTAATCACTTTATTAATTACATCTGATAAAGGTCACGCTTTCTAAATTATTCTAAAGGATATTACAACAAAAAAAGACAACCAGCCCCAACAATAAACACACATACCCTGATGAAGAAAGCATAAACACACTTTGAATATTCCAACAATTATAAAATGGAATGATCCTCGAATTTATTCAGCCTTAAAACATTATGAACTACTCCAAGGTAGGAATAATGCCTTGAAAACACGGTATTTTTTTTAAAGTACAAAAAATAAAGAAGTCAAAAAAATAAATAAAGAAGTCATTACAGGTTCTAATTTCTTGGAAAAATTACTTGAACATGTGTTGACGCTGCTGACTGTCAAAAACCCTGATGAAATTCTTACCCAAATAAAATATGCCAAGCACTTTTTATTCAACATAAGGCTTACACTGTTCTAATCATCACTATTACATTTGTTATTAGGTTTCTCATCAACAGACTACAAGGAACACACAGGTGTACGCTATCAAGTCACTCTTCCTACAAGAAATATATATTTAAAGAAAAACTATCACAACTCTCTACCACTAAGATTTAAGGAATTACTTTCCTTATTCATAGGAACCATAAAAAACTATTAGTAAGTGTAAAAATCTTTTTTTTAATGACATTTTGCAGTTTATTTTTATTTTATTTATCTTTGGCTGTATTGGGTCTTCGTTGCTGCACGCAGGCTTTCTCTAGTTTCGAGGAGCGGGGGGCTACTCTTCGTTGTGGTGTGTGGGCTTCTCATTGCAGCGGCTTCTTTTGCTACAGAGCCCGGTCTCTAGGGCACAGGCTTCAGTAGCTGTGGTATGTGGGCTCAGTAGTTGTGGCTTCCGGGCTCTAGAGTGCAGGCTCAGTAGTTGTGGCGCACAGGCTTAGTTGCTCCGCAGCATGTTGGATCTTCCCGGACCATGGCTCAAACCCATGTGCCCTGAATCGGCAGGCAGATTCTTAACCACTGCACCACCCAGGAAGCCCTAAAAATCTTAAAGTTCTATTTGAATGCACATATCATCTTCAACAATGCATAAGCAGTTAACAGGTCAAAAGTGTCCACCTAAATTCAAAAGTTAGGGGCTTCCCTGGTGACGCAGTGGTTAGGAATCCACCTGCCAATGCAGGGGACACAGGTTCAAGCCCTGGTCTGGGAAGATCCCACATGCCGTGGAGCAACTAAGCCTGTGCGCCACAACTACTGAGGCCGCGTGCCACAACTACTGAAGCCCACGTGCCTAGAGCCTGTGCTCCGCAACAAGAGAAGCCATGACAACGAGAAGCCCGTGCACTGCAATGAAGAGTAGCCCCCACTTGCCACAACTAGAGAAAGCCCGTGAGCAGCAACAAAGACCCAACGCAGCCAAAAATAAATAAATAAATTTATATATTCAAAAGTTATCTGTAAAAAAATTATTAATCTATCAATACATTTTTCTGTAATGATCAAGACTGACTTTGGAGCGCATTAATTTGGACTTCTGAAGAATTCAAATAAGTACTTTTTATCATATGTAAATAAGATAAAAACAGACAACACAACCTTACGTTCAGAATTAATAAGTGCAATACTACAAATCATCCTCTTTTACTGTTTACTAAAACAGTTTTACCAGTTTTAATACTAGAGGTAAAATTCAGATATAGAACTACAAATCACTACTAACAGTTCTTCAGTTCTCAGTACTATCAAGTCAATACTCCATTTGTAAATGATGAATAAAAGGTCAAAATAAAATTTCTGAAAAGGTGCTTTATTTAAAAACACTTCTTATAGAAAAGGAATCCACTGTTTCTCTTAGGAGATTTTTAACAACAGAACATGTTGTACAGCAAAGATTATTTACAGAAAACAGAACATTACTTTTCAATAAATACACTGTACCAAAAATATCTAATACGGGAGAGAGAATAAAAATACTAGTTTGTTAAACTTCTTCCTCTCTTCATTTAAAAAAACAGATTTTATTAAACTGACAATATGAAAATGTAACCCAATGATCTTAGCCCTATAAAGTTACTTATTAACCTTTAAATAGACTGTTATGGATCTACACTTCCTGCTGTTCACCTGCCATCTTTCCCAATTTTAAATAGGCACTAGGGGTATAAGACAGTCTGTCCTTGTAACATCCATAATGAGGAACGAACTTCACGCTCAGGCTAAGAAAAAGATAATTGTGGGTTTTGTTTGCCCCTAGGAAATCAGCAGCCAGCACAGGTGCCAGCATATAATAGGTGCTTAATGAATATCTGCTGAGTAAGTGGTGAGGTTTAATTATATTACTGCAACATTAGCTTTCCTTTTTCCCTTAAAGTTCCCCCTTGCTCAAAAAGCAACTCAAGACCATGCCAGAGTCCCTCAAAAGCACATAAACTTCTTTATTCATAATGAAATGGAAAGCAGGGTCTCAACCAAACAGAATAGAAGCACCTCTTCTTTATCTTCTCCATTCTTTCAAAAGAAAATTAGATCAATATGGTTGATTTTTAGGAAACATCAAAATGTCTACCAACTTTCCTCAAAATGATTAATTTCAAATGCATTTTCTATGCTCCTAATATTGAAAATAACTGATTTTTCAACAGTATGTGTATGTTGCGTGAAAACAAAAAACAAGCATATAAGCCAAAATAACGTGTTTGCCAATTTTTTCCTTTAACTTGAATCAAGAGAGTATGTGCCTAAATTGTACTAGATATGAGATCAGCTTTCTCTGACGTTTCAAGATTCATTTTTTCATTCAAGTATTTTATTGAGCATCTACTTACTATACGTCAGGCCCTTTAACAAAACGTTAATTTTGTAAACTGAACATTAGCATCAAATTCCCCTTCAAAAGCTTATCACTCAAGAGCAGCTAAAGAGGAATCTCAGTGTTGTTTCATGTACACATTAAGTCAGCCCATCGAGGCTCCTCTTCACCTATTAATGCGGCATCACCGAGCCGCTAACTACCACACCCGTTACCAAAAATCACAACTAAAGCAGCAAGCGCTGGGTAAAACAACCTGTAAGAGTAGGACGAGTTCCTCCTCCGAGGTGGTCAGGGCTTTCTCTCCGGGGCCCAAAGTACCGCGGCGAGACCCGCGTGCGGAACGCGCCGGACGCCCCAGGCAAGAGTCCGGCTCCCGAGCCGGCGGTCCCCGCCCCTCCGAAACTCACCTGGAGGACCCGGGCCCTCTCCGCCTGCCCCTCGCGCCACCCTCCCGACTTTCAGACCTGCAAAGTTGGGGGGGAGGGGGCTCTTCATTTCCATTTTACAACGGGGGGGCGGTTGGCTCTCTCAGCCGCCCGCCTGTCTTGAATCCGGAACAGAGTATGTAACCATTTCCCAGAAGGAATGGAAGGAAAACCAAAGGCAGGGTCCGCATGAGGACCTCGCCCAGACCTGAAAATGGAGCCGCAGGCTCAGCCCACAGCCCGCAGCGCGCAGCGGGCAGGGCAGGGCCGCACTCGCCCTGAAGCCCTAGGTGGCGGGGGTTAGGGGCTTCGGGCCCCCGCCCAAGGGGCCCCGAGAGCAAGGTGGGAAGCCCAGAGCGCGACCCCGGCGGGAGATGCACTCACCGTAGCCTTTGTCTCCGCCGCTCGCTCCTGCCGCGGCCGCTCTCAGGGCCGGCTCCGCGGCTGCTATCCCCCCACGCCCGCAGCTGCGCTCCCCAGCGCGCTCGCCGCTTCCTGGCCCCTCCCTCCACGCCCTGGCTCGCGCGCAGGCGGGGCAAGAGGCGGCGCGCGCTCCGGGAGCAGCGGGAGGGCCGCGCCGCCGCACAGCTGCCGCCACGCCGGCCCCGCCCCGTACCCTGCCTTGGGGGTGGACTCTGTTCCGCACCTCAGCGACGCGCACTGCCCGCGAGCTCCGCGGGCTAGAAACCCCTTCCCCGGCGAGAAGAGGGCAGAGAGCTGGGGTTGGAGTCCGCGCGGGAAAGAACGCGCCGGAAGATGGCGATCGGGGCTGGGTGGGAACGTTCGGGAGCCCCTCCCCACTCTCAGCCCGGCAGCCGGCAGCAAGACCTCGCGCCCCCTCCCCAGACGGCGCCTGCGCTGGAAGTGGGAACGCTCCCAGGCGGGCTAGGGTCGTGGCTGAGCCTTAGGACCAGCTGTCTCTCAGTAGTAGTTGAGAGATAGATGCCCTGAAATCACCAAACCACCCTCCCCCGTTTTTTAAATGGAAACGTCAGAATTGTTGAATCCGTCATTACCTGGCTTAAGGCCGAGAACACCCACATGGCATTTGAAATGTGTGAAATTACTCGTCTACTGGATCTCTGAGCCCTTACCTGTATATTTTATATATCCCAGAAATCAGAAACACTTAAGAGTGCGCTTATCTAGCAGTAGACCCTCCACCAAAATGCGTACCATACTTGGAATATAATATAGTACGTCTTCCCCGTCTTGATTGATTATATGAGTACAACATTAGTTTTCTTTTCCCGCTAAATTTAGAGTTAGGTCTCCCTTGCTCAAAAAGCAACTCAAAACCATGCCACAGTCCTTCTAGTTAGTTACTCAGGTCAAAAACTTGGAGTCATCCTTGGCTCCTCTCATTCTCTCCTCTTCACCTCCATTCTGTCAAGCATGTCTGTTGGTTGCGCCCTCAAAATAAACCAGAATCAGACCACTTCCCCCCTGAATCACTTTTCATCTGCTCTGGCCTCGAGTATACTTCGGTGGCCTACTAAATGGTCTACCTGCCCACCATTAACGCAGTCTATTATCAAAACAACAATCAGAATATCCTCCTACAAAAAAAGTCAGCTCCTGTCTCATCTGGTCAAAATCTTCCATTGCCTCCCCATTTCCTCAACTGTAAAAGCTAAGGTCCTTAGAGTCTGTCATACGGAATGAAGTAAGTCAGAAAGAGAAAAACAAATACCTTACGCTAACACATATATATGGAATCTAAAAAAAAAAAAAAAAATGGTTCTGAGGAACGTAGGGGCAGGACAGGAATAAAGATGCAGACATAGAGAATGGACTTGAGGACACGGGGAGGGGGAAGGGTAAGCTGGGACAAAGTGAGAGAGTGGCATTAACATATATACACTACCAAATGTAAAATAGATAGCTAGTGGGAAGCAGCCGCATAGCACAGGGAGATCAGCTTGGTGCTTTGTGACCACCTAGAAGGGTGGGATAGGGAGACGCAAGAGGGAGGGGATATGGGGATATATGTATATGTATAGCTGATTCACTTTGTTGTACAGCAGCAACTAACACACCCTTGTAAAGCAATTATACTCCAGTAAAGATGTTAAAAAAAAAAAAAAAAAAAAAAGGTCTTCACGGTTTCTACAAAGCCCTTGGATTTGCCTTTTGCTTTACTCCCTGACTCCAGTTGCTTGTATATTCCAGACAGGGACTTTGTGAGAGTTTTTTCTCTGCTGGTAACATTCTTCCCTGGTGTCCACCTTCACCTCTTTTAACTCCTTGATCCAATCTTACCTTAACAATGATACTCAGCCTGACCACGCTATTTAAAACTGTAACCACCCCAAACCCAACTCTCAGTCCTTCCTAACTTGCTTCTTCTTTTCTTCCCATGACACTTAAAACCTTGCAAAAATCTTTACAATTTATCTGTTGTATATTTATGTTTTAATGTCTGTCTTCCCCAGTAGAAGATGGGATTTTGTGTTTTGTTCAGCTGATGTATCCCAAGTGCCTAGAGTAAATGAAAACAATTTTAAGTCTCCTAGGTAATAAAAAGTGCAAAGCAACAAAAAATGACCAAGTTTTTATTTTAAACTTCCTCTTGGTTCCAATTTCTATCAGTTAACCATAAGATCCCTATCTACATCATAACATAAGCATTTTGATTTTCTGGTTACTCTGAGTACAGTGATAACTTGACATTCAATGCAGTTTTTCTAACCATTGCTATCATGGTATTCTATTTCACTGAAGAAGACAAACATGATAAATTAGAGAAAACTTTCTGGTGTAAAACTCAAAGGCATTTTAATGCTAAAAATGTCCGTATGCTGTGATAAACCATAATGGAAGAATATAAAAAAAAGAATGTCTCTATGTCTATAACTGAGTCACTTTGTTGCACAGCCAAGACTGGCACAGCATTGTAAATCAACTCTACTTCAATAAAAAGAAAAAAAAATATTTTTTAAGTCCTATGACAAAAAAAACCCAGAAAATTTCTGAACTTGGTATATATATTTGTAATCCTTCCTTTGAATTACAAATGTAGTCATCTTGTGTGAATGCCTTAAGTAATAACATTTCCTATCATTTATTCATAAAAGTTAGTATTCATTACGTAAACATTTATTTCCAGATTTTTCATATTTTGTTTATAACATATCACATATGATTGAATACCTTAATAATATCTAATTTCAGTTGCTATAGCTATTCCTACATACCTCTTGCCAGTAGAAAAAAAAAGTCAATTAAGAAGACAATTCCATTCAATCAAAGGATACGTTTTGTATGAAAGTCTGTGCATATAGTTATTTGTTCAGTATAATACTTATAGCATAGTCTCTTTACATACTTAATTTATCCTTTCTGATTTAAAACTATTTAAGGTTACAGATGATCCCTTACAATCTGGATTATTTTTATATAAAATTCAATAGACTGCTTTTATTTTTAAAAGCTATTGACTATATATTTCAGTAATGTAAAAATATGGTTTGGGGGATTTCCCTGGTGGCACAGTGTTTAAGAATCCACCTGCCAATGCCGCGGACATGGGTTCAAACCCTGGTCCAAGAAGATCCCACATGCCGCAGAGTAACTAAGCCCATGTGCCACAACTACTGAGCCTGCACTCTAGAGCCTGTGAGCCACAACTACTGAGCCCGTATCCCACAACTACTGAAGCCCACGCGCCTAGAGCCCGTGCTCTGCAACAAGAGGAGCCATCACATTGAGAAGCCTGCGCACCACAACAAAGAGTAGTAGCCCCTGCTTGCCACAACTAGAGAAAGCCTGTGCGCAGTAACAAAGACCCAACACAGCCAAAAATAAATAAATTTAACAACAACAAAAAGGATTAAAAAATATGGTTTGTAATTAATAATTACAATAATTGTAATAATACCACATAATAATTTTTCTGGACTCAATATTATGATGTGTCTGTACTGTCCTTAAAATTGTTACCAAGTAAAAACTTCTCTCAAAAGGACAGAGTAGAAAATAGTCACCGTTCATAATTCAACCACATACTGCTAAAGTTAAATGCAACTGTTACAGTACAAAATAAAATGTCTTGCACCTTACTAGCCCACCAACAAGAGAATGATCTCAACAAAACTAACATGGCATATTTGTAACTTAACAAATGGAAACATTAACCAACATCAAGGACAACAGCAAACAATGTGTTGGTCTAAGCAACTGCTATCACTACTCACGAGCTCACACAGCTATCACACTTGCCTGATTATGCAATCTCTTACTTAGTTAAGTTTTCCTTTAAAATGTTTACAGCAAATGGATTTTTCCTAAAAGTATACTATTATTTTTTTAACTACTTTCCAAAATTCAGTACCAGCTACTTATCACATATAGGGGAGATGGTGTATAGGGTCAGAGCCTGGAGTTCAAACTCTGACGCAGAATTAGCTGGGTGATCCTGACCAAGGTTATTAATCTTCTAAACCTGTCTTTTCTTCTCATTTAATGGGACCATAGCAGTACTTATCTCCAAGAGTTGTTGGAAGAAATCAGTGAGAGAACTCAAGCAGAGTTCTTAGCCCTGGGCCTGGCACATGCTCAGTGCTGGTAAATGCTAGCTATTATCATTACACAAGCATATAATTAAGCTCATTGCCCTATATTTGGAATACTGAGAAAATGGCTCATAATAGGCCCCAAATGGGATTGTTTGAATTCTACATCAAGGTAGTATTATATGCAATTAAATGAACATTTTTAAAACAGCACTAACATTTCTTCTACCACCACTATGTGCCAGGCACAGTTCTGGGTAACAAAGGAAGCTAAGAGAAATAAGGCCCAGACCTAGAATGGCTTTACAGTTAAATGAAAAGTGACATACAGTTAGCAAATAACTGCTCTCAAAGTAGTATGACTGTACTTCCTTGTTTGTCAGGGACACTTCTTGTCCTGGCTTAATAGTTATTTGTGCCCACTTTCGTTCTCAGTATGTCCAGGTTTGGATAATAAGTATGTGTAAATTGCTTGGGGGTACAGAGAAGGAAATATAAGCTTCGTGTAAAGCTAAAGAGACTTAAATTGCTACTTGAAAGGAACATCTAAATTGGCCTAGTGGCCAAAAGAGGGAGGAAAGGCAGAGGGAAGATTTCATTTTTATTGTTCTGAGTCAAAACTACAAAGCTTTTCCATACTTGTTAAAAAACTTAGTAAATCCCCTTGACCAATGTTATATGAATTAGTTTGAGGACTTCGTATTTTTTCCTGAAGATATATCAGGGACACTCCAAGACACAAACAATAAAACATGCATTCATTTATTTATACAACAAATATCTATTGAGCATCCACTATGTATATGTGGTCTTTAGTGTGATAGAGGATACAAAAAATATTTACAAGACAGAATTAAGCAATGCAAGATCTAGTGGCAAACACCAAATGTCTTAGCTAATTAGTCAACGAGATAATCAGACACAGCACACAAAGTGTGATTTGGGGAGACAGAAAAATCAGGAAACACAGGGAACTTATTGAGAA